ATAGTATTGCTGTCTGAACTCTGAGTGTCTGTTTCTGCTGGTTTTCACTCCTGTTGGCTTGTTTTCTTCTTCTTAGACTGCTGGTTTCTTAGGTTCATGTTCCTCTCAGCCAGCACAAATTTGTATAGGAGGCAGATACATTTTTTTTCAGTGTTCTGGTCTTATCCTTGTTCCTTCAAGGGAAGCGTTGGGATTCATTTTGGACATCCTTCACCTTAGTGGGTAGACTCTGTGTATCATGCAAGCCTGGGTTCAGTTTTATGTGTGCGTTAGTCGCTCAGTCGTGTCCAACTCTTTGTGACCCCATGAACTGTAGCCCACCAGTTTCCTCTGTCCATGAATTCTCCAGGCAAGAAACCTGGAGTGGGTTGCCATGCCCTTCTCCAAGGAAATCTTACTGAACCAAGGATCAAACTCTGGTCTCCTGACTTAGCAGGCAGATTCTTTATCATCTGAGCCACTGGGTTAGTCAATAATAAACATGAAGATCTCATAGCGTTCCTATGAGTTAGGATTTCAGGAACAGCTTCTTAGGTGGTTTTAGTGCAAGGTCTCTCAAGAGTTATAGTTAAGATGTTGGCTGGGGCTTCAGTTATCTGAAAGCCTGACTGAGGCTGGAAGATCAAAGCCCACTCACAGACTTGGTTGGTGCTGGTTATTTCAGAATGTATAAGTTCCTTGTCACATGTATCTCTCCATAGGTTACTTGAGTGTCCTAGCAACATGGCATTTGGCTTTTCCTAGAATAGATGATCCAGAAGAGCAAGATAGAAGCCATAATATATTTTATGGTCTATCCTTAAAGTCATACTCTTTATTTTCAGTTTCCTATTATTTACTGTCAGCCCAGCTCAAGGTAGGATGGAATTATACAAACCCATGGATACCAGGTGCTACGGATCACTGAGGGCCATCTGGCTATCACATATCAAATGAGATAATGCACGTAAAGCACTTAGAACCATGCTTGACATGTCATATGTGCTCAGTAAACATTGACCATGCCTAATATGTGTCTTGGCTCTGCTCTGGGCATGTAGGACCTGCACGGCAACCACATTTACTCACAAACAGTTATTGAGCGGCTCTATGTGCCAGGTGCTGTTATTGGAGTCAGGGAGACAATTATAAACAAAGCAGATACTTAGACTTATGAAACCCACACAGACAAACAGATGAGAATGTCCTGCCAGGTGGTGCTAAGTGCTGTGAAGACCCACAAAATAGGGTGAGGGGAGAGGGCGCGAGGACGGAATAGGGCTACACTTCTTTCCCCAGAAAGCTGGTACAACTGAGGTGGCGGTTCAGATTTTGACCCAGTAAAGCTCCCCACATCTGTGAGTCCATCCTAGCATCACAGGCAGGTAGAATTTATGCCCAAGTTACACCCATTTTACAAACAGACAGAGAGGAGCTAACATGAGTTCTCTGAGTCCCCGAGGAGGCAGGCTTTCTCCAAACACAGGGGTTCTCCAACTGGGATGCTCAACAGCATCACCTAGGGAGATTGTTATTATTATTATTATTATTATTTATATATTTATTTATCTTTGGCTGTGCCGGGTCTTTATTGCTACACGTGGGCTTTCTCTGTGATGAGTGGGGGCTAATTTTTGCAGGGAGGAAGCTATTCTTTGTGGTGCAGGGGCTTCTCATTACAGTGGCTTCTCCCGTCGCAGAGCATGGGCTCTAGGCACACAGGCTTCAGTAGTTGCAGCTCGAGGGCTCTAGAGAGCAGGCTTAGTAGTTGTGGCACAGGGGCTTAGTTGCCCATGGGCATGTGGGACCTTCCCAGACCAGGGATTGAACCTGTGCCCCCTGCATTGGCAGGCAGATGCTTAACCACTGGACCACCAGTGAAGGAGCCAGCACCAAGAGCACATGGAGCAGGAATGACCCTCCCCAGCCAAGCCTCCCTGGAGCCAAGTGAGTGAGGCTGAGCTGCCCTGTGGAGCTGTCCGCTCTCTGCAATTGCAGGAATGACCAGCATCACACTGATTGTCTGTTGACCCAGACAATCACGAACCACGACGTTTGCGGAATTGTAAAGCAGCAAAGACTGATACAGCCTAGTTGCTGGGGAAGAGAATTCTCCTTCCTTCTCTTGTAGCAAGTTTTTCTTATTCTTGGTAATTAACACTAACTGCTCAACAGACAAACTCCCAATTGTAGACTTAACACAGGAAGCTTCGTTTCTTGCTCAGTAAAATCCAGTGTGAATCCAGTGGTTCTCCTCTCGGTTCAGTTCAGTTCAGTTCAGTCACTCAGTCGTGTCCGACTCTCTGCGACCACAGGGACTACAGCACACCAAGCCTCTCTGTCCATGCCAACTCCTGGAGTTTACTCAAATTCATGTCCATTGAGTCACTGATGCCATCCAACTATCTCATCTGCTGTCCTCCCCTTCTTCTCCCGCCTTCAATCTTTCCCAGCATCAGGGTCTTTTCCAATGAGTCAGTTCTTCACATCAGGTGGCCAAAGTATTGGAGTTTCAGCTTCAGCATCAGTCCTTTCAATGAATATTCAGGACTGATTTCCTTTAGGATGGACTGGTTGGATCTTCTCTTTCTTATAGCTAAGGGAACACGAGGCCTCAAGGTGGAAGGGAAAGACTGGTATGGAGGCCTACCAGCTCTCAATCGATTCAGCCTAGAAGTGACCACACTTATGTCACTTCTACACACACATTAGTGGTTAGAACTTGTCCCGTTGACTGAAAGGGAGGACAGGGCATGTAGGGGAGCATGGGACACAGTGGTGATGCCTGTCTTTGCCACAAAGAACATACCACAGATATAATTAACTTCTTCATTTGTGTGGTTACCTGTTTAATATCTGTCTCCTCTGTTGGACTGAAGTCCATGAGGGCAGGACCGTGTTGCATCCATTGTAGGGTAGGGGCCTACCCTACAATTGGCATTAGGAATAGTAGTTTAATTGCTAGTTGAATGAATAACTGGGCAGGTCACGGTATGATCTTTTGTGTTTAGCTCCCAGTTGCAGAGAAAATCCCCAATTAAATGTCTAACAGTTCCTCCCTCCCAGTAACACACATGCATTACCTCTGATATTATAAATCTCTTACACAGTGATCATCCAAAGAATACAAACAGAACATGAAAGTCCCTACTAGTTACAGCCAGGGGTGTGGCTATGTGCATTGCTTGGCGAGAGAGGATTTACATTTTTATGTGATAGTTCTCATACAGCTGCCTCAGAGTGGACTTGGCAAAAGCTCCTGCTTCAAGGCAAAAACCAGGTGAGTTTTTCTCTGTTGTGTGGTTTTGGATGAATCTTCTGCTGTCTCTGAACCTCATTTTTCTTGTCAGTGAAATGACTAAAAGCATTTGCTTCATAGGGTTGTTGTGAGATGGTGATGAGTCTCTGTGTAATATAGATAAAGACCTGCCATTTGGCAGCTCCCGTTTTATATGAACTGTCCCCTCTTGCCCTTGCTACTTGGGCACAGCTTGTGATGGAGCTGGGGCAGGGTCTTTTGGAGGCTGAATGGAAGGGTAAAGGTTGGAGGCAGCTCCATGAGACCCTAGATACAGCCGGGCCCTGTTCTGGGTGATGCTGGGTGCACAGAGAGGAGGCTGACTTGTCCCTGTCTGAATCAGTTAGCGTTTGCTGTGTAACAAAACACTAAAACTCAATGGCTTAAAACAATCATCATTTTATTTAGCCCATGATCCTGTGGGTCAGTTGGGGAAATTTTCTGGTCTGGGTCAACCTAACTGAACTCTGCATTTTCAGTCAGCTGGAGGGTCAACTGATGGCTGGGCTGTCTACGATAGCCTCCCTCACCTGTCTGCAGTTAGCAAGCTATTGAGGGAGCTTCCTCAGTTCTCTTCCTCTGCACTTTTCCCCACTCCTCCTCACTCTCAGAATTTGATTTTGTGCAGGTATCTTTCCCCCACCATCCCCACACCCTATATGTAGCATGAGCCTCAGGGAAACTGCTGGAGAATTGACATGATAATTAACATAACTGCATTTCCCTTGCTGGTGATTGGTCAGGAGAAGGCACATGGCCCAGGTCTGGCCAATGAGGAATGTGGGCAAATCTGTTCAGAGTGCTCCTAGGAAAGTTTTCCTCATCCTGTGGAAAAGTTATAGAGAGAAACACCTAACTCTGACTGAGGACTTGTTATGCCAGGCACTGTTAATTCTAAGTGCTTTAAATAAAATAACCCATTCAACTTTCTTGGGTTAGGTACTGTTATCTCTCATTTTACAGATGAAGTCTCTGTGGTATAGAGTGGTTAAGAAACTTGCCAAGGGTCGAACAGCTAGTGAGTGTTGGAGCCAGGATTTAATTCCAGGCAGCCTGACTCCAGAGTAATGAGTTTTCAGGTGCCACCCTCCTCCTTCCTCTGGTCATGGGTCTATCTTAGGTGACACCACAGATGGTTGTAGCCACTGTGCCAGCAGTTACCTGGGACAACAGAGCCAAGACAGAATGAACGTAGGGAGCCAGGGTCCCTCCTAACAGCTCCGTGGTGGTTAGTCATCAAGTCATGTCCGACACTTGTGATACCCCATGGACTACAGCCCACCAGGCTCCTCTTTCCATGGGATTTTCCAGGCAAGAGTACTGGAGTAGGTTGCCATTTCCTTCTCCAGGGGATCTTCCTGACCCAGGGATCAAACCCAGTTCTCCTGTATTGCAGGCAGATTCTTTACCGACTGAGCCAGATGAATAAATGAGCCCTGAAGCCTATCCCCTCTCTGCCTGTTGACTTTCTGGTTCGTCTCCTTTCTTTCCACTTTGACTCAAGATTTCAGTGACTTGCAGTCAAACAGTACCCTGAGACAGCGGAACATCCAGAAAGAACAGAGTAAATGAGAGAAGATCCACTGGGTCTCCTATTCTCACGAACCACTCAGAGATTGAGACACAAGGCCTCTGACCTTTCACCCTGAGGCTGGTTTCAGAGGTATGGAAAACTCAGAAGAGATGGGGAGGAGAAGATGGACGAAGTATCCAAGAGAGATGACAGCATTTCATAATTCCTTTATGAGCCGCAAGATAAAAAATACACACTCATGGCATCTAAACTCATATTGTTAATGTAGGGCCCTGGACCTGAGACTTTCCAGGAGGCCAGGGGACAGAACTTGCCTGATCTTGGTGCTTGGTCCATGGAGGTGGACAGGCCTGGACCCTCACTCCAAACTACTCTTTCAGTAAGATGAGGACCAGCCTCACGGTTTGCACTCCTGATCTTCCAGCCCAAATCCTTGGCTCAAGCCTGGATGGAGAAGCCCTTGGCCAAGAGGACAGAGCTGCTGGGAGCACAATTCCCAGCCTGGTCTGAGCTCTAGGGTCCTGAATCACAGGGGAGAGGCCTGGAGCCTTTGGCACAGGGGAGCTTCCATTCCCCTGAAAAGGCATGAGATACAAAGGCAGCTGGGTTGTTTGTGACAGGGACCGTCCCACGTCAGAGGTGCCTGGGCATCAGCACGAGTGGATGCCAGCCCCTGCACTGTGGGTGCTCAGTGTAGACACTGACTCATGGGCATGGAAAGTATTGTCTGCTCTGAGCAGGACTTTGTCTCTGTCGTTCACTGCTGTGTTCCCAGCATCTGGAACAGGGCTTGGCAGAGGGAGCTCCTGAGAAGGACTCGGTGGGGCACAAGCTCGTCTGCACAGGTGTGTGTGTCCAGCATGCTCTGCACACACCTCCTCCTCTCTTCTTCCCAGAAGGCACTTAAGGTTTGGCTCAGCTCAAAGAGGCAGAAGAGAGCTTAGAGATACCCCAGACTCAACCCGCTGTCTGCAGCTGAGAGTCCAGTCAGGTGACATCAGCCATAGAGACCCACATCTCTTTCTCCCTCCTCTGTTTCCTCCAGCCCCGGCCCTTCGGGGACCACCTGGTCAGCCTCACTGTGGCGGGACCGAGGTGGGGCTGCAGGGATGGCGTTCTCCCGCATCCAAGGGTGCAGCAGGATACCCGAGGCCGTGAGCCGCTCAGTTGGCTCCCTTCGGAGGAGACAGCGGACCAGGCAGCGGGCGGGGGCCGAGAGGCCCTCAGGCAGGGCAAAGGCGCCACGGCGGATCTTGCCAAAGAGCAGGGCAGGCTCTGAGTCCTGGAAGGGGTAGTGGCCGGCCAGCATGGTAAAGAGTGCCACACCCAGGCTCCAGACATCTGCCGCCTTGCCTGAGTAGGATGCCCGGGAACTGAGGATCTCGGGGCCCACGTAGGCTGGGCATGCGTGCTTGTCCCACAGGGAGTCGTCAGGCCCAGTCAGCACACAGGCATCTTCCAGGTTCTCCAGCACCAGTTTTGTCCTACACAGGCAGAGAGACAGGGAGTCAGCTAGTGGGACCCCCTCTTCTACCACCCCACACTGTCACCCTGCATGGCCCCCATTTCCCCAGTACCAGCTGACATTTGCCAGACATAAGTCAGTCCTGTGAGGCTGCTTGGCTGATCCCATTTTACAGATGAGGAAGTCTAGGCTCAGAGAGGTTTATTCATTTCTCAAGGTCACACAGCAATTAAATCTGAACTAGGACTCTGAGAGGAACACATTTTTCCAAATGTCTCTGGGGTCAAATTCAGGTTCTACTTGTTAACTTGCAATTTGGCCTTGATCGATGGCTTCACCTGCCTGAACCTTGACTTGGGGGCTGGGGAAGTGGGGCTGTGCTGAGGGGCTGAGGGCATTAAAACTCTCTGAAGCCAGATGCAAACTCGGGGTCTAGGCAGAAAGCAAAATGAGAAACAGGAAGTGGGGACTGTGCCAACTGTCTCAGCACAAACCTACAGTTAATATTTGGGAGTGTCCACTGCGTACCTCGCCCTGAGCTATCTATCACACCTCATTTCACCCTCATACAGCCTGTAAGGAAGATGCCATTTTGCAGGGGAGCAGGACTGAGACGGAACCTTGGTTCTCTCCTGCCCAGGGCCAGTGCTATAAGCTGCTCATGTGGTTCCCAGGGTGCCTCCATGGTACCCCTTTTCCACAAAATAACCCAGAAATCATATTTTATTTAAATTTTTTTTCAGAAATCATATTTTAAAGGAAAAAAAAAACAGGTTTTAAAAAGTTAGCAACCAATTTCAATTAAAAACACAAATGAACGTGACCCATATTGGTGTATGGCAGAAACCAACACCATATTGTAATTATCCCTCAACTAAAAATAAAGAAAGAAAGAAAAAAAGGAAACAAGCAAAAATCAAAGCAAAACAAAAAACCTCACAAATGAACAGGTATGTGGTGCAAAGAAAAAAAAAGTGTGTGGACCAACCTGAGCAACTTCTGCTTTAGCTAACTCCCACAGAGTGCTCTAGATTACTTTAATAGTAAGCACAGCATTGCTATTACTACTAATCTTATTCCTGTGGCACTACTTCCTGGGTGCTTGTCTGAAAATGCTGACCAGTCCTGTCAATCACTGCACTGGGGGTGGGTGGAGACGTTAGCATTATTGGCCCATTTTATAAATAACGAAGTCAAGGTTCAGGCAGATGAAGCCATTGCTCAAGGCCAAACTACAGGTTAAAGAAGTAGAGCCAGAATTTGACCCCAGGATGATTCCATTATCTGTCATTTACTGGTGGTGCTTCTCAAACTATTGCCTTGAAAAGGGAAGAAAGCACTTTTCTCACTTCCGGGAGGTCTGGGGGTGTTGTACTCACCCTAAGCTTGAAATTATTTGAAAAGCTTAAAAATCATTATAAAATTTGCATTCTACTTCTTACTTAAAGCATGGTCATTGTAGTATAAAAGGTAAAAGGAAATACCAGCTTTAAAAGGAAAAACCACCTTCAGGGACTTCCCTGGTGGTCTAGTGGCTAAGACTCCTTGCTCCCAATGCAGGGGGCCCAGAGTTCAATCCCTGATGAAGGAACTAGATTGCACATGTTGCAACTAAGACTCGGTGCAGCCAGATAAATAAAAAATTTTTTAAAAAGAAAAGAAAACCACCCTTAGGCAAATATCATAAGAGTAACTGCTATAGAATGGATAGCAGGTGAAATTAGTGGGCAAAAGTTTGAGCAGAAACAGGATATTCACACATAGAGCCTTAAAAACCCTCAAGGTTTTTAATGACAAATTAATGACAAAGAATTACCCAAGGTACACAAAGGGTAAATTAGGAGCCTTCCAGTGGACAGCTTGGCAGAAGCCCCTGTAACCAAAGACCGAGGTTAACATCACAGTAGTTCCCCTCAGCAGCCTGAATCTCCTGATAGAACCGGCTGAGAAGGCCCCAGGGCTTCTGTGGTATTCTTGCCAAAAAATGCATCACCTCAATCTAAGCGTGACCAGAGCATCAGTCAAGGCCACACCGAGGGGCCTCCTCGGCGGCCACACTCACCTCTCCGGGTCGGTGAAGACGAAGCGCCGTAGCTTGAGGTCACGGAGGACCAGCCCATGCTGGTGGCAGTGCGCCAGGGCGGCGGCCATCTGGCGGAAGAGCGCGGCGGCCTCGGGCTCCGGGAGGCGACGCCGGCGGCGCACCAGGCTGTGCATGTCCCCATGTGGCCGCGGGAAGAAGACGTAGAGGTGCTGCGTGCCGGCCAGGACCTCCACCGGCCGGGCCACGTGGCCGTGATGGGGCAGCCTCCAGTAGGGCTCCAGCACCGCCAGGCTCTTGCAGGCCGGGTACACCTGTGGGCAGAGCATGGTGTGACCATGGGTGGGGACTCCAGGGGGCAGGTGGCAGGGGCTGGCGGCAGGGGCCGGCCGTGCAGCAGGTCACAGCCAATCCTTTAGGCACTGCTGTGGGCTGGGCCCTGTGCCCAGCACTTCCACTGCATGTTACTCAATACTGACCAAGCTGAGGGCTGGCAAGCAGCAAGGCGCACAGCTGGGATTTCAATCCCTGTTCTCCATCATCTGTGCTCTTAGCTACCAGCTCATGTGCTCTTAAACTTGAGATACTTCAAAAATATCAGGTAACCAGAACAAAAGTAACTAAATCAAGAGGAATCCAGAAGAGTAGACAATACAGAAGTAACCTATGGTCGTCATCACCCATCATGGCTACCATTCTCTAGCATTCACTGCCTACCACCCTTTCTTTCATTCCACCAGCAGGCATTGAACGCCCACCTGTGCCAGCCACTGGGACTATAACTTAACCGACCGCCATGGTCCCTGCCCTCCTGGTGCTCACAGTCCAATACATGAGACAGTTTTACTGAATACTTACTTAAAAAACTAAATAATACTTAAAAAACTAAATACTTACAAATTCTGATGACTATTGCAAAGGAATGCTGGAATAAAAAATATTTTGGCAAGAGACACCTATTTTAGAAACTATAGTCCAGAAGGGACTCTGAGGAAGTGACCTGAATGATTGAGATGCCCAAGGAGTAAGCTTTCCAGGTAGGAGGCACAGGCAGTGCAAAGGCCCTGAGGTAGGAAAGAAACTGCGCTGCTCTAGAAACCCAGCCAAAGCTCAGTATGGCTGGAATGGGAGGGAAGGTGGGGCCTATGGTGAGTGTGGTGAGGTTGTAGGGAAAGATGCTAGGGGTTTATGGACATTAGATGGAAGCCATGCCATAGTCCTGAAAGGATCAGAGGATGGTGACTTGGAAGCCACATGGCTCATCACTGGCAGAGCAGTCTATGCACTTCGGTTTATCTGCCTTTAAACCCTTTGCTTGTAAAAAATAAAAATAAAAAAATTAACCCTTTGCTTGTCATTTTGTCTAGGACATATAGCCAATAAAAATAAATAAAGCATATACACATTTAATCCATGAAAAGACGTAAGTACATGTCTTAAAGCAATTGGGGTTGCTTGGAGGAAATAATCCACAAACGGAGACTTTTTTTAAAAGTCAGGGCAAGTGCATCCCTGCCTCTGAGCATTTACACTTGCTTTTCCTGCAGCCTGAGCATTCTCTTCTAGATACCCACAGGGCTGGCTCCCTCAGTTCAAGACACTATTCAGGTCACCTCCTCCGAGGTGGACTTCCCACCTAAGATCACCTGTACCTTCTCCCCTCCCCACTCCCCTCTCTCCCAGCTCCTAGTTTTTCTCCATAGCAGTTAAGATCACCTGATATATATGTTACTCATTCACCTGCAGCATGAACTGTGCAGACACAGCTTGGCCCACTTTTTAGCTATGGCGTGGTGCATACTGCATGATGCATGGAGTATACAAGTGCTCACTGAGAGTTTGTTGAATTAATGAATAAGGCAATAGTCTAGAAAGATGGGATGTTGATTTTTCTACATGCCGACCAGAAAAGCCTAGGCAATGTGGAAACAGCAGGTCAGTCCCACAGTCCCTACACGCTGGGTGTAGGAACAGGCACTCCCAGTAGATTGCCCGAAATGTTCCTGAATATCTGGGGTCATGTGAAAGCACAGGGGTTCTGACTCCAGCTTGCCATGGTCATTCCTTTCAGTATGGACTTCCCTCCGTAGGGGGACCAGAAAAAACCTGTGATGCTGCAGGAAGGGGAGCCAGAGTTCAAGGGTTCCCTAGAACACCTGGGGTGGACCTAGGAACCTGCATCAAGCAGCCAGAGCCCAGGTAAAGCTGGTGTCTGATGTCCAGATGTGGCCCTGCCCACTGCACCCCCATGAGCAGGAAGTGGAGCCACTGCTGCTACTTTCCCCTCATCCCCCGGCCAGCTGGATGGAGGCTTCAGTCCCCCTGGCTCTCTGTGCCTTCCCAAGGGGACCCAGCCCCCTTCTATCCTTCCCTGTGTACCTGGGTCTCCCCTATCCTCCTTACCTCTGCCCACCAGAGCAAACCTGTCCTGCTTGTATCTGAACCACCTGTCCTAGCATGGGGTCCAAGGCTCTGGGTTCAACCTGCCTTGGCCCAATTTCAGCTCTGACACCTCCTGGCTTTGTGAGGTGGCAAGTAACCCCAGGGCTTCCTGGGTGGCTCAGTCAGTAAAGAATCTGCCTGCAATGCAGGAGACCTGGGTTTGATCCCTGGGTTGGGAAGATCCCCTGTGGGAGGGAATGGCTACCCGCTCCAGTATTCTTGCCTGGAGAATTCCATGGACAGAGGAGCCTGGTGAGTTATAGTCTAAGAGGTCGCAAAAAGTCAGACACAACTGAGTGACTAACACGTTCACTTTCGAGTAACCACAGCTTTCTGAGCCTCAGAACCTGTCCTCTCTCTATTGAATGGGCCCAATAATAGTAACTACCTCATAGATTGTGTGAATATTAGAAAGGATGCAAAAAAAAAAAAAAAATAGAAAGGATGCAGACGGCACAATCAATATAGTACTTTGTCCACAGTAGATACCTACGATTATGCTTTCTCAGGGCCTTCCCTGGTGGCTCAGTGGAAAAGAATCTGCCTGCCAGTGCAGGAGATGCAGGTTTGACCCCTGGGTTGGGAAGATACCCTGGAGAAGGAAATGGAAACCCACTCCAGTATTCTTTCCTGGGAAATCCCCTGGACAGAGGAGACTGGCAGGCTACAGCCCATGGCGTTGCAAAAGAATTGGACATGACTTAACAACTAAACAACAACAACAAATGCTTTCTCATCTCTGTCCTTGTGGGCTGAGACCTGGCAGTGTCCTGTAAGGATCACGTGTCTCTGCCTATCGCCTGAATTCTGTCAAGAACTCTGATTTCTGTCAGGAACCCTGGACCTTGCCCTAGAATCCAGGTCTGATGCCATGTGGCTTCATGCATGGCCCTTCTCTCATGACCTCAGTTTTTCCATCTATAAAATGGTCACGAGTAGGCCCAATGACCTCCATGGTCCCAGGAGTTCTAATGTCTACCATATCTCATCCTTCCCTGGTACAAATACCTTCAGTGGCTCCCCTAGCTAGGCTCCCCTAGCTTCAGAAGCCTAGCGGGGCTTCTTCCTAATGCTTTCACAATCCATGGCTGCTAGCTCTCATCTGCCAGCCCTGTCTGCATCCCTTTCCCACTCTGGTCATAATGAAGTCCTTTTCATTCTCTGAAGTACCATGTTCACTCCTCTTGGCCTCTGACAGCTGTTTCTCCTTCCTGGAACCCCCTCCTCCCACTTCTCCCTGGCTGACTCCTCCTTAGCCTTTTCTGACTCTGCCTTTTAATATAATAGAGGTTTCTCTGTGCACTTCTGGCCCCTAAGCCTCATCCCAGCAATCATACTATACACTATGTACATATACACTATATGTATATGTATATACACATATATATATATACACACACACATATATATATACACTATTTATCACACTATACAGCCTAAGCTCTGTATTCCCCCAGGGCTGGGACCATTTGGTTTACCTTTCTGGTTTCCGCTCGGCCTAGGTATTCACTGGCTGCTTCCCCAGTAAACACAGAACTAAATTAACATAAGGGCCCCTCAGCCCTGGCAATTCTTTGGAGCCAAAGCCTTTCCCAGCCCCAGTGATGCTCATGGAGATGGCCTCTGGGACATGTACCTTGCAGATGTACTCTGTGCCTGTGGGACAGTGCAGAGCGCGATAGGTACGGCTCCCCTCCTCGGGTTCCAGGAGAACATAGGGTCCAAGCCTGGAGGCAGTGGTCACATCGGGAGTATGAATAGGAGCAGGCGGTGGGTTCAGCGTCAGTGGGCAGGAGGGTAGCCTGGGCTGGGGCCCACTTCGAGCTTGTTTCTTGCTAGGACACTCAGTGTCTAGGTCATCATCCAGCTCCAACCGCTTCTTCCTGGAGGGGGCACTTGCTGGAACAGCCAAAGGGCTGGCTCGCATCTATAAAGAAGTGGAGAAAGGCACTGAAGTCAGGCTACTTGTTGGCTCCTCTCTTCCTCTGCTGGTGGGAGGCTACACTGGCACAGCCTTTATGAAGGGTGACTTGGCAGTGTGTATTAAATGAACAAACGCATATATCCTTGACTCAGTGACCCACTTCTGAGAACTTATCTTCCAAATAAAATGTTCACCAAAAAAATGAAGTACGTGAAAGGCTGCTCATCAGTGTCTAACAGCAAAAAGTAGGAAATTCTCCCAAACATCGAGCAGTTGGAAGTTGGTCAAACCATCATGATACAGCCACATAGTGGAATACTATACAGCTCTGAAAAATGATGAAGAACTCTCTATATATTGATGCAGTGGGGCAAGTACAAAGTTATTCCTACAGTCCATATGATAGAATCAATTAAACATCCATTGTTAGGACTGGTTAAATACATTATATTTCACCATATATAAAATAGTTGTAGCCATTTAAGAGATTGAGGAAATCCTTTATGTGCTAATTGGAAAAGTCTCCAGAGTTAACTGTTAAGTGAAAAAAAAAAAGTACAGAGGACAGATGGACTTGATGGTTGGTGAGAAAAGGAAGAAAGACTTTGTACTGTACCTGTTGAGTGCTGTCGCACAGGCAGTTATTACCTCTGAAAGGGAGGGAAGAATGGGAGGAGGGAGAGGAGGAGAAAGGATGATGAAGGATGATGCATGAATGATGTATATACTGAATGTACACATGAATGGATGTTTCTGGAATGACTAAACATTGTCAAGTGAACAGAGCTAGCTGCTGAAAAATATATATGAAATGATCTCATTTTATTTAAAAAATCCACAAGTGTGTAATATGATATATGTGAAAGCGAAAGTGTTAGTAGCTCAGTTATGTCTGACTCTTTGTGACCCCATGGACTGTAGCCCTCTAGGCTCCTCTGTCCATGGAATTCTCCAGGCAATAACACTGGAGTGGATAGCCATTCCCTTCTCCAGGGGATCTTCCCGAGCCAGGGTTGAATCTGGGTCTCCTGCATTGCACGCAGGTTCTTTACCAGCTGAGCCATCAGAGAAGCCCTGTTTGTATACACAGGTGTGTATCCACAGCAGCTTCTGGCCTTCTGGGAGACTCCAGGAGTGGAAGGGACTCAGTAGGGAGGCAAGGGAATATTCGATTTCAGTATTTTAAAATAAAGATTCTACATTTATTTAGTGCTTGGGTACTTCAAAACAGATGGAGTTTATTTCTTTTCTCAAATGTGAACTTTGTCTGCAATCAACTGATGGCCCAAGAGCTACCAGAATCACAGGATCTACGTGCAGAATTAGTCCACCAGCCAGCTCAGTTTAACCATCAGATGAGCGTGAGGCAGGGAGGCAAGGTCGCTGGAAGCCCCAGGATTCACTTACTCAACTGCAGAGGAAGCACCTCTCCCTGCCCCGCCCCCACACAGCTGTGTCAGTGTGTGTGTGTGTGTGGTGCGTGGAGGAGACTCCCTGCCCCGCCCCCACACAGCTGTGTCAGTGTGTGTATGTGTGGTGCGTGGAGGAGAGGGCGATGGCATGTCAGGGCAGAAAGGTTCTCTCCAGGACCCGTCTGCCCACCCATCCAGGCTCCAGGGGAGGAACAAGGAGCCCAGGAATGAGGTGTTAGAGGACAATGGACTGCAGCCAGGTAAAGACCTTCCCAACAGTCCCAGGCAGGATTAGAGGGAACATCACTCAGAGACAGTTCTCAGGCTGATGCCCACCTCTCCAGTCGTGCTGCTCCCAAATGCATGGGCTGCCTTGGGAGGGAGGGAGCCATCATCTTGAATGAAAAGCCGTAATCCCGTTTTGGTGAGAATGCAGTAGGGGGTGGCTGTCATCATATATTCCCTGGATCTCAACCTGTCTCTGACCCTTCCTGGCTGGATAGCCCTAGGCAAGTTCTTCAGACTTTCTGTACCTCATCTGTAAAGTGGAAACAGGATGCAAAGCCCATAGGATTTTGTGATGATGAAATGAAAATACAAATAAATTAACACGGCCCTGTTGCAGGGTGGGTGTCAGGAAAATGGTCACTACCATTGGCTCATTACTATTATTATTCACAGCTGAAGATGCTGAAGTGCTACCTTTGGGAGTCTCAGAAACTTCCCCAGGGATGAGGCTAGGATAACACTCTTTACTGCACTGGTTATTCCAAGAGTAAAGCAAGATGATCCCTGGGTATGTAGATGCCTTGTGTCCTGCAAAGCGAGACTCCCTGGAGTGACTCTCCCCTGGCTACATCAGTACCCCAGGCTGCTCTGGCCTCATCCAGGGCTCAGAGCCTGGTCCTGCTTGGGATGAGCTCCAGTGGACAGACGGGGTAACTGAGTTTATAGATGAATACAGGAATTTGCAGGCCACAGGGCAAGATTAGAATCTCTGCAGTAGGATGGAGGCAGCCCCTAGTCTCTACCTCTTGCCGGTCCCTATCCCTCCCAGGGGAATAGGGTGGGTCACACCCAACACACATGTTCACATAACCCAGGGCAGGCAGGTGTACACGCGCCCCTCCCAAACACAGTCGTCCAAACCGGCCCCCATGGCACACGGGCAGGGCAGAGAGGGGCATCCGTGTCCTTAAGTGACACACACCTGGCCCTCCACCCGCAAGGGTGCAGGCACACTCACCGAGAGCTCTCCCAACTATACTCACGACTGCAGGACGGATACCAACAAGGCCACACGTCCAGTCTGTACCCCCCACACCCCCCCAAGTTCCCACGGAGAAGGCAGTGGGCGGACTCGCCCCACCCTCAGCAGCTGGGCTCCTCCCGTGGGAGAGGAAGCGGCGGGGCTGCAGGAGTACCGCTCGGTCCCCGCCCCCGACCCCCAGCAGAAGGTTGAGCGGAAACCGAGGGGCTGCTAGAGGACTGGGAGGGGACAGGCAAAGGGAAGGAGGCTGGGCCCTGGGGCTGAGATAAGCGGCCTTGCCCGCACACCCCAGAATCAACAGGTACAACACACACCATTGGCAGAAACAGAATACGCGCGCATCCTACAGCTGGCGAACCGGTGGTCATCAGGCCCCGCACATCTGTGCGCGCGCGCAGCGTCCAGGCCGCCCTTGACCCCGCACCCGCCCCGCCCACAGGCACCCCAGTGGGTCCCGGCACGACCAGTACCTGCCGCCCAGTGCCCAGGCCTCCGCACGGTCCTCGGACATACGGCCCCACCCGGAATCCACCGGCCCACGCGGACTCCAGCAAATCCTCACGAACACATCTCACAGGCACCCGGGACCACCTGACTCCCAGGGACCCCACAGACCTCCCCGCACCCAACCACGGACCTCTCCGGACCCGCCCCACGCTCAGACAGACTCGGACGGCGCACACCCTCCTCCCCCGGACACGCCTCCCCGCCCAGCGGGGATCCACCGTCCCGCAGCCCGATCGGCCACACTCGGCCACACCGCGCCCTGCGGAGCCGCGTCACCCAGCGGGAACACTCAGCCAACATCGCTCCCCGGACGGCGGGCTTCCTTAAAAGTGTGTGTCACTCGCGGCAACTTCAGCCGCCCCTCCTGCCCGCCCCTCCCGCCCCTACCGAGTACCTTGCCCTAGCACGCGGCGGGGTCCTGGCGCAGAAAGAGCTCAGGGTCGCCTGGCACTCCTCGGTGGCCCACGCTACTCCGCCGCCGCCGAGCTCGGCTCCGGGTGCGGCTCTGGCCTCGGTCCCCAGCGGCCGGACGTGTGCGGAGCCGCCGCCGCTTCCGCTGCGAGTGTCTCGGGAGCGCGGAGAGCAGGGCTCCAGCTCTGGCCCGGGTGATGTAAACCTGAGTTAATCAGCCACCGCCTGATGCCCTCAGGCCGGGGATTGCACCATTTCCCCCCCCAGCCCCGCCCCCTTACCCCAGCCCGTCACCTCCAAGCGCGCCCCGCCCCTCCCGTGCGAACAACTAGCTGTCCCGGAACCCCTCCCTCTGGCCCTCTAGGGGTGTTTTGCCTCCCCCCCTCCCCCGACCCCTCCCGCACAGCGGCCGAAGATTGAAAGCGATGCCAGAGGCTGGCTCTCCCGATCACCTTGGAAAAAGTATTCTGCTTTTCTGAGTCTCAGTTTTCCCATCTGTGAAATGGAAGGAAAAACACCCTTTCTCAGGATGGGTGGAGGATAAAAAAACAAACCCTAACAGTTCCCTGGGTACTCCGCTGGTAATAAAGCACTTTCCCACCAGTGCTTTATTGAACGTTTTAGGAGAACCCTGGGCTGGCAGGAAGCTCCATTCTCCCCATTCTACCAAGGGGCAGCCTGAGGCCCAACTATGAGAAAATAACCCAGGAGCTTTGCAAAGACCACAGACTTAGGGGCTGACTCCAGACTCAACAGGACCATTGTGGTGCCCTGGAGAGGCCTGGGGTCCAGTGGCCTTCACAGCACTCACTTGATGCAGGCAGTGTAGCCTGGAAGTTAAGAGGAAGTACCCTGGAATTTGATGTTTTCAAACTGTGGTGTTGGAGAAGACTCTTGAGAGTCCCTTGGACTGCAAAGAGATCAAACCAGTCCCTCCTAAAGGAAATCAACCCTGACTATTCATTGGAAGGTCAGATGCTGAAGCTCCAATACTTTCGCCACCTGGTGTGAAGAGCCAACTCATTGGAAAAGACCCTGATGCTGGGTAAGATTGAGGACAGGAGGAGAAGGGGACAACAGAGGATGAGGTGGTTGGATGGCACCACCAATTCAATGGACATGAGTTGGAGCAAACTCTGGGAGATGGTCAAGGACAGAGAAGCCTGGCATACTGTAGTCCATGGGGTCGCAAAGAGTCAGATACAACTGAGCGACTGAACAACAGGAAAACCCTGGAACCAGTCTGCGTAAGTGTACCCAGACCCTAACTCTGCCAAACCCACTGTGCTACATCAGGAAATGGGTTAAATAAGTTAACACATGTCAAATACTTTGTACTCTGTGGCACATAATCCTGCTGCTGCTGTTCAGTCGCTAAGTCGTGTCTGACTCTTTTGCTATCCCAAGGACTGTAGCCCACCAGGCTCCTCTGTCCATGGGATTTCTCCGGCCAAGAATACTGGAATGGGTTGCCAGTTTCTTCTCCAGGGGATCTTTCCTACCCAGGGATCAAACCTGTCTCCTGCATTGCAGGCGGATTCTTTACCACCGAATGGTAGAAGCTCAGTAAACAGAGTGGGAGATGGTAGAGGCTTAGAGAGGAATGGTACCTATAGTAGGACTTGCACCCCAGGCTGGGAAGCCCGGGTGCCACTTGCTGTTTGGTGAAGCATCCCTATGCAGCCCCAGAGAGTCCAGTCCCCTTAAGGCCATGATATCTGAATTCACCAATGTAAAAAAAAATAACTCCTGCAGGCAGAGGTTGATGGGAGGCAGTTGGAGTCACCTTTGTTTCCCTGGTTGCAGAACTCCAGGGACCAGTTCACCTGTGTCTCAGTCTTCAGGGCACAGTGGGGGGATGTTCTCAGATCTCATTTAACCCTGGAGACTCCCAAATCTGGGAGGAATGAATGAACTCATTTTCTACACCAGAACTTAGACTCCTATGGACACACCCACAGCTGTAGAGAGGACAAGGAAAGATTGGCAGGTTGTTTTCCCAGCACCTCTCTGAAACCAAACTGTGGCTGGGTTTGCTTATACAGTCCTAACTGTTTCATGCTGTGTTAGACCCTGATCCAAGTGCTGGGAACTCAGCAGTGACAAGACCAACTCATCCCTGCCCTCACTGATCTTATAAATCAGTGGAGGAGACAGACATCTCTCAGGAAAATAAAATCAATAATCCAGGATCATTTAAAATAGATTATGCATCATGTGTTTTCTTAAATAAATAGCATAAATTTATTCTCTATCAGATAAGACTGAGAGGTGGCTATTTTTAGTAAAACTTATCAGAAAGGTGAGAAGGCAATGGCACCCCACTCCAGTACTCTTGCCTGGAAAATCCCATGGATGGAGGAGCCTGGTGGGCTGCAGTCCATGGGGTTGCTAAGAGTCGGACATGACTGAGCGACTTCACTTCCACTTTTCACTTTCCTGCACTGGAGAAGGAAATAGCAACCCACTCCAGTGTTCTTGCCTGGAGAATCCCAGGGACGGGGGAGCCTGGTGGGCTGCCCTCTATGGGGTTGCACAGAGTTGGACACAACTGAAGCGACTTAGCAGCAGCAGCATCAGGAAGGTGATGTTTAAACTAAGATCTTAAAAAAGAGGGGGAGTGGAAACATGTGAGAAGAGACAGAGGAAAAAGTATGTGTAATGGCCCTGGGGCACTTACAGAACTGTGAAATGGGCAATGTCACTTCTAGTCTATAGATGAGTCAAGACCACCCATCTTATTATAAGAGGCAGATTTGAAATTTGAATCTGGGGCAGCTGACTCCAGTGCCCACAATGTCCAGGGACATTTCACAATCTTTGCAACCTGGCAGCCTCCTCTAAGACTTGTGGTATGGTCACTGGAATTGTACCTTGGGCATGGACCCCAGGCCTGAGGACGTTATCACAGTTAGGGGTATCAAACCCCAATTCTCTAGACCAGGACTTTTCAATAGAACACAGCATGAACCTAATATATAGTTTCAAATTTTCTAATTATGCATTAAAGAATAAAAAGAAGCAGGTGAAAATAATTTTAATAATATAGTCTATTTATCCTGTAGCTTATGATCATTTCAACAGATGGTAAAAAATTATTAATGAGATAACCTAATTTTTTTTTCATAGTAATGTCTTCAAAAACTTCCCGGACGGCTCAGTGGTAAAGAATCCGCCTGCCAATGCAAGGGACAAATGTCCGATCCCTGGTATGGGAAGATTCCACATGCCAAGGAGCAACTAAGCCCATGCATCACAACTACTGAACCTGCAAGCCTAGAGCCAGTGCTCCGCAGCGAGAGAAACCATAGCAGTGAGTACTCTGCGATGAAGAGTAGCCCCGTGCTCGCCGAAACCAGAGAAAGCCTGTGTACGAAGACCCAGCACACCCAAAAATAAATAAATTTTAAAAATCTGGCATATAGTTTACACTTAGTTTGGATACAAATCAACACGGAAGCTAAGCTGTCAGTGACTAAAGTAAAATTGTCAGTGGTTATAGTAAGTTAAAGTATCAAAACAATTAAGTTGTGTTTAATGGAGAAACTGTTTCACTTGTTTTAAAATTAAAATCCAAAAAAAATGAAAAGTTCAGTTCCTCTGTCACCCTGTGCGTGTGTGCATCCTCAGTCACTAAGTCATGTCTGACTCTCTGCGACCCCAGGGATTGTAGCCCTCCAGGTTCCTCTGTCCATGGAATTTTCCCAGCAATAATACTGGAGTGGGTTGCCATTTCCTCCTGCAGGGGATCTTCCTGATTTCCAGGGATTGAACCTGTATCTCCTGTGGGTCCTGCATTGGTAGGTAGATTCTTTACCACAGAGCCACCTAGGAAGCCTGTCAGTCACCCTAGCCAGATTAAATGGTCAGTAGTTACCTACAGCAAATGCTGGTATACTGAGACCAAGAATCCCTGGCACAGAATCCAGGGAGTATAGCAAAATGTGAAGAGCCTGTTGAATCTACAACAAAGGTACCAAATAATCTTGAGCCTCAGTTTCTGCATCTATAACATGAAATTAATTATACCTTCCATGCATTGTAGGCCTGAGGATTAAATGCATGAAGCATCCTTATGTCATAGTCAAACCACATTTTCTGGGTTCAAATCTCACCACTCCTGAGTAGGGAGATTTGGGGCAAGCTACTTAAACTCTCTGTGCCTCAGTTTCTTCATCTGTAAAATGGAGATAATAATAGTACCTACTTCATTGTTTTGTCAGGCTTCCCTGATGGTTCAGATGGCATTGTATGAGACCTGGGTTCAGTCCCTGGGTGGGGAAGATCCCCTGAAGAAGGGAATGGTAACCCACTCTAGTATTCCTGCCTGGAGAATTCCATGGACAGAGAAACCTGGCAGGGCTACAGTCCACGGGGTCAGAAAGAGTTGGACACAACTGAATGACTAAAACAGGAATATTGGTTTGTCGTGAGGATTAAATGACAGTGTTTGTGAAGTGCCTGGAATATAAATCTGATATAAGCATTTGTTAAAAAAAGTGAGAAAATAAGTGGTAACCAACACTCCCTCTTCAAATTAAATGCAAAAAAATGTGCACTTTTCTGAAAAGAGAGTTCGGCTTTCATGAATTTCCTTCTCTCCAGGCTCAGAACATCCCTCTATCTAGATGCCTGAGCCATCAGGTTGCATTTCTGTTTGCTGTAGTTCTGAGGATGTTCAGCACCTCCAGGAGGAACTCAGAGGAAGGAAGGGAGGGGGCGTTGTGAATGGCTGTCATAGCAGCCACTCTTGCTTCCTTCCTCTGCACCCAGACGTCCCTGGTTTCTGCTCTAAGCCTGAAATTCCACCACTGGTGTCCTTCAAACTTTCCTCTTTCAGTTTTTCCCCACAAAAGTGAAATGATGCCTTAGGAAGAGTTCTGGTTGCATTCCAGGTCTGGCTGAAGTCACTTGCCCTGTGAGATGGTGGGCAAGTCACCTCCTCTCCTTTTTGGGAGCCTTAATTTTCTCATGTGTAAAATAGGAAGAGAGTTGGATTAGGTCAGGGTTTTCCCCAATATGTTACACACATATGCCCG